ATTATTTCTGTGCAACTGGAACAAAATTATCCACAGGTATTTAGACTAAAAAAATCAATAATAAAATAACCTAGATTTAATTTGTTCTTTCTCCCCCTCCTGATTTCCACTATCTTATCACTTCTTCAGGGCTTGTCTTGAGCAAAGCATCACTGTAAACTGATGTGTTTGGTGTAGAATAATAAATTTCATCCAAGACCTTTTGAGTTACAGGTCATTTAATATAGTAACTGTGGGCAAGGCGAGCCCCCATTGTGCTCCCACTGATGTCAATGAGTGTTTGCTGCCCATGAGTTCAGAAATGAGTACCAACTCTGGCTGTGAAAGATCACTCCTAATCTAAATTTGTCACACACTGCCACTGTCTGTACCTCATTTTCTGGGTGCCCATCTTCAGGCTCCCAGAGATTAATTTGCAGGGTAGGCAGGTGCTATTGGAAACAGGGAAGATGATCTCTGTTTCATGAGCAGAGACTCTTGCTGTTTGGATGCAGTTGCTGTCCTACACTTACAGCCCTTGTGAAGGATTCTTCACTGCTTCCACCCTAAGTGCAGGCAAGTAAAAAAGGGGAGAGCTTATCTGGTTATGGCCTTGTGTCTGCAGCAGAGTGGCAATACTCCAGGGAAGCAGAGAATATAAAAAAAAAACCAAAAAAAACCAAAAAACAACCAAACCCAAGAACTGGGAATTTATGCCCAGGAAAGAAAAAAAAAAAAGGCACCAAAACCCAAAGAAACAAACAAAACAGCCATTTTATCATTTTGTGTTAGTGCTGGCAGAAAGCGGGGTACAGACACTGTCATTTGGTTCTGGCTCTGGTCAGGATTTGAATTAAAACAAACAAAACACAAAACCAAACAAGCCCCAGAGAAACACTTTCTATCATTTCAGTAAAAACTAACCATGACCTCTTGTGTCTGGCTAACTTATCAGATGGAAAATATTAACATCATGGAGCTCCAAGCAATTTCAACAAAAGCAAGGTCCTTGAGTTCCCTACAGGGACCTGCCCAGTTAGTTGACACTCTTTTTTTGATTTTTCTCTCTACAACTAAGATTTTAGGAAACAAAAAGAATAAGAACACTTCAGTGCACCCAGTCAGCTGTGAACAGACAAAGGATGAAGGTGCTCTGCTGAGAATGCAACAGGGAGAAAATGACTGATTCTCTGCAGTGTCCAAGGAACCCAAAGCCCCCTACTGAATAGTGAGAGTGAAAAATAAAGAGATTAAATAAAACAAAGCCAACCACAAAAAATGTTTATTTAGTCAGGAAACAGCATCCATCCATAACCCAATGTTTCGCTTCACAATTCTGATATGCTTCATTCCATTCTTTAAATGCATGCATATATATAAGTTCAAAAAGTCTGGATAGTTCCCCCTGCTAGCCATATCATGTCAGATTTTCCATGTTTATAAGGTCTTTCTCTGTTGCTGTGAGATAGACCTGGGCAAATAAAAATCTATCCCTGCCTGACTGCACAGGGAAACACTGACCCTGAGTAACAACCACACACAAACAGTGTGGACAGCCCAGATTTCTCTCCTTTAACCAGTGCTGCTCTTGGAATATGAAAAGCAAGTCAGCATTTTTGCAACAGAACTTTGAAGACTACAGTCTTCACTGGAGTAACTCATAATTGTTAAACACAAGGAGAGCCTCTGGCACATAAATGGCCAGTAATATGTGGACTGCAAACATTTAGGTGAGATTTTAAGAGTATTGGGTAGAACTCTCTCCCCAAGGCTATTCATGGCATTTTTAATGTCAGAATTAATGGGGGAAAGATTTTATTTGATGGGTTTAATTTATAATTTAAAGTAAAGGGCCAGAGCTCAAATTGTTCTTTACTCATCAGAAATTAATAATACTGAGCTTGAAGTAGCACTAGATAAACAAATTACACATGCAAATAAAAACATTATGATGGACTGCACCACTGTAAGTGAAAAATATTACTTACCTTCTAAAAGAAAAAAATAGTTTTAAATGAACATTTAATTTAATCTATCCCTTTAAAATATTAGCTTAAGAGAAAAACTTATTATCCCTTGGAAGATATACGCCCGTAATGAAGACTTCTCAGGTATCTGTCACAAAAACATTCAAAATAGATGTGAACACACACTTTAGTTTTTCCATAAATGCTGACATTTATTTCTGGTAAATATTGTCTCTTGCTTTATCTCTGCCAGTTGGTATCACCTCATATCAATAAATCTATGCAGGACTCCGTAACTACTTACTACTCTCATTGGATTAGCAACAATTATAAGTGACTGCTCCATAGATACACTGGATGAAGTCCAAACTCTTTCCCCATGGCATGTATGCCTCCCACCACTGCAGAATCCCCCAGGAGATATTTTCCTGCTCCCAGGCAGTATGGGTGTTCCTGGTAAACCAGGAAAGCACAAGGTCTGCCCCCACTCTCAGGTCAAAGTGACCACCAAGCATTTGTTAACAATGAGCTGTCGCATTTTTAGATGGTCCATCTTACAGCCTATGTTGTCTAGCTAAATCTACCTGGATGACAGGCAATAATCACATATACTTAATAATACAGACCAGAGGCTAGGATAATTTAACACAGCTTCTTCAGAATGCCCCTAGGAAAGACAGAAGAATTGCCACGCCCCTTTCCCAAATGGGAAGCAGTCAGTATGGACCAATACCAAGGAGGTCTTTTACTGCAAGCGTGATGAATGGCAACCACAACCAAAGAAGCAGTGTCATATGAAGAAAACACTTTGCTAAGAAGGAAAGCACTAATTTCACCCTGGGACTGCACTAAGTAGACAGGGTTCTGCAAAGCAGACAGGCCAAGCACAGGGAAGCAGAGGGTAATACAAAGGAATTTACTTCCCAAAGAAGACAATATTGGCAGTGGTGGGCTCAAGGCCAAAACAAATAGAGATGTATTGATTTTACATCTGCCCACAGGCTTATTTTGTTGTGGGAGAAGAGAGCTTTAGAAACCTTAAGCTATTTTCCATTGCAGGAAGCCCCTGGTGATGATGAGAATACACAAACTGCCCATTGTTTCCCTGGGAGTGAATTGTCCCTAGGTTGCACCAGGTGTGCATTAGTCTGCTGGCACAAGGACCCTTTGAACCAAGACAGAGGATCTGAGAGGAAGGAGCAGGCTAGAAAGATGAAAGCAAGAACAATTTCATGTGAATGTGGAGAAGGACAAAAAAGGAACAAAACCCACTTGACATGAGATACAGTACCCCAAGGTGAAAGCCTACCCCTACTCCAGGAGGACAGAAAAGTAGCTGTGACAACAAGCAACAGTCGGATTCACTAACATCTCTTCAATTGGTCATGAGCAAGGAATGTTCAAGGGAATCCCAGGAAAACACACCTTGTGCCACTGGTGAAAAATATTTTTTTTTTTCTGTGGCAAAGGAGCAACCTCAAAAGGAAAAAAGAGTGGGAAGCCACAGTGGGAATCAAGCCCAAATAGCAATTGCATTGTAATGTCTGGGAATCCTGCCTCTGTGCAAGTAACCATGTGCTCGGTGATCCTGAAGCTGTTCTTTAAACATGCTCCAGCAGTGATGCATTTGTACTGTTCAAGTTTGTGCTGAAGACAGTAAATTCATATAGATGGAAAAAGTCAGATGGATGGATTGACCTTGGAACTTGGCCTGGAAGTTATTCTCAGTCTCCACAAGAAAAACACTGTTCATGTTGCATTGCAAAGCCTGAGAAGTGAGCACGAGAAACCCAGGGATATGCTGCATGCTGGTGATCCAAGCTATTGCTTGGGAGTTCTGTTTTCTTAAAGCCACTTCAAGATTCAAATTGAGTAATTTCTGCCTTTGCTACAAGCATTTCACAAGCCTCACAGAGGCATGAGATCAGATCCAGTACTTCTCCCAGCACATTGCTGAACGGACAGAGAATTCTGGAATGTTTGGAGAAAAAGTTCCATGTAAAATCTTCACAGATTCAGGAAAGTCTAAGGCCTGGTCTTGTGGTGCCTTCCACTTAGAAATGGCTCTCCTGCCCTAACACCTTCAGTGAAGGACAAACGCAGCAAGGAGAACTTGCCCTTGGAGCTAAATAAACATGCTCACTCCTTTCCACAGGATGAAGTATTTCTGAAGATGCAATACTGTGTCCTTGATAACAGTGGCCAGTTTGTCATCTGAAAGGTGGAAAGTAGCCATCACCTAGGCTGCTGTTACTGGAGTTATCCCGACATGGATATCAGATGTTCTCATGAGTATGAAAGACATCAATGAGCAATGATCCCTCTCACCTTTCAATCCCTCTGCTGGCTTATTCTGTTGAAGAAAATGCTTCTGTCTGTAGACTCAAGCCTGAACTGAGTCATCAAGTATCTTCACTATAGTTGGACTCATGTAGATGCTGTCTTGAAACCCTTCTCAAGTCTGTTTAAAGACCTCAGGCCAGAACTTTGTGGGCACTATGTTTATAACTCTGTGCCCTGGCTGGGCAGCCCACCTGCTTTCCAGACAGGATTCAGAGAAAATCCCTGGTATATCTGCACCTGGATTCCAGAAGGGCAGACAGGCTTGAGGACTCTCAGGGTGGGGATGCAACACAGCACCAGTGGCTGTGATGTAACAGCTCTCTCCTGGGCCAGCCTAATCCATTCTTGCTCCCTGTGGCCCTGCAACCAAGAGTCACCCTTTCCAAGAGGGATGCTGGAGGCTGATCTCCTTCCTAGGCTTCTTCTGCACCTGCTCTCTCCTGGGCAGCAGCCCTGACACCTGGGTGACCAAGTTGAGGACACACACCTCCACCACAGTGGGTGGTCAAGACAAAACCCCCTGCAATGGCTGGGAAGCCAAGCTCACATCCATCCAAGCAAGAGTCCTGTCACCTGCTGTCAAGTGACACACTAGAAAATGTAGAAACCTTCTCTGCTGCCCTTTCCCCTCCAAATCCAGTATAAATCATAAATCAGAAGAGGTAGAAGCCAGTTAGCTTTTCTTCTTTGCTCACTCACCTGTCCCTTGTTCCCTTGCCAGAATGGAAAGCACAGGTTCCAAATGCACAGGAAGTTGTCTCTCGTTTTGACCAGCTCAGCTGGAAGCAGAAGGGCCTAATGCAGGTGGCATGAAACCTAGTCTGGTGAGACCTCATCTGGGAACTACAGAGTTCAAGACATCATTTGAATTTGGCAGCTCCCCTCCAAGCTGCCCACCGTTTCCTTGGAGCGGGAGTGAACTTGGGACCTGCCCCAGCTGGAATCTGGGATCCACTCTCCCCTGTGTGAGGCTCCAAAAAAGGGACAGAGCCTGTAAGCTGTAGAAGGCCTCCTCATAAAGCTGCCAAGAGAAAAAAATAGAAAGTAAAAATTAATTCCTTGAAAATACAAGACCAAACGTGTTTCTGAGCATTCCCATGCACAGCACTGTGCAATATACCTTTTGCAAGTACATTTTAACCATGCCTCTGTTGATGCTGCCTTGCGCCCCCTCTGGCTTGTGTTTAACTTTCCACAACAGATCATACTCAGCTTTGGATACAATAAAACAAATCAGTTTCTTCCTTTTTACTTGTGCACGTCATTAACATTAAACACATGCTGCAATGACAGCGGAATTGATGGCTGAATGGGATGTATTTTAATTTAAGTAATATTTCCATTAACCTAAAAGCTCTCCCTTAAAAGTCTGTACAATTTATTTATTGGAAAAATTCCAGAATAATTGTACTGAAAATTCTTCTCTGAATGATAATATGTCAGAGTTTTAAAGCTCTCTTCTGGCAGCTTTTCTTTTCGCCTTTGAACATTACTGACATAAGAATATATTTCTCACAAGTCTGATGTGTATTGAAAAAAAAAGAGAAAAGGAAAAGAAAGAGGGACTGCTGCAGAAATCACAGTAGGTGTAAAATGCCACAGCCCCAAATCTGTCCCCTTGGCTGGAGCAGTGCATCCCAGATTTGTTACTCGTTTATGTTAGGTTATGGAAAATGCAGAGGATTAAAAAGGCAGAGGGAAGCAGATGCCATGCAGGCAGAGACAGTTAGAAGCCAATCTCCATCTGAGAGCACAGAGGCACTGCACCCAGCAAAAGAATGTGTTTGGAGGCAAAACTAAGCTGTGGCAGCTGGGGCTGGGACAGAGAGGTGCAGCTGCACTAGAGGAGGCGGAGGAGCAGGAGGCATTCCTGAGCTCAGAAAACAGCAAAATCCACCGTTCAAAACAAATAAAAGCTGGACTGTCCTCCCACCCCCGTGTTTGTGCTCACTGGCTTCAGAGCACAGGGGCACGAGATGGGGTCAGAGCTGCCTCAGAGCCAGAGCTCAGCCTGTAGAGAGAGGCTGCTGCAGGTTTGCCCCTTTTCCTGCTGCCCACAAAGGGCACGGCTCCAGCTGTGTCTCCTCTAAGGATGTGCCACAAGGGCACACAAACACACATCTACGTGTGCTTTTCTGTGGGCCAACAAGCACATGTGGTCTTCTGTCCAGACTTCTTTCAGGGAGGAGAGGGAAAATCAGAGGCACATGACAGCTGTTGTCATGTCACTTTGTGCTCCACTGATCGATGTATGCAATCCCTAGCAACTCCAATTAAGCAATATAACGTGCCTAAATAGGACAGCATGGAACTTCTCTCCCCACGGAGCACAGCCCAAGATTTGAGATGCCACAGGTCAATGGCATTTGTCCAGCAGGCACATTTGTCCAGTCGTTGCTTTCCCCAGCCTGGGGAAGAGGTGGTTGGACAAATACAGGGGAGCTGTGGGTGTGTGAGGATGATGACTTCTCTCCTAAACAACAGCAGGCTTCTGACAGACATCAGCACAGAGCCCTGTGAGCCAGCACAGGTGAGAGAGAGCCAGGGGCAGACCCCCTGCTCTTCTCTCATCCCTGTGGTACCCGGCTGCCAAAGCCAGCCAGCCCCAAGACACAGCCAAGGCTGTGTGTGTGAAAATCAGACACAGCAGCCCAGCATCACCCCAGGGCCAGAGAAGTACAGTCAAACCTTCCACCCTGACGCAGGTCCTTGGGGGAGTTCAAATCCACTCTGAGCACCTGAGAAGCCACTTTGCCTACTCTGGCCAGCACAGGTGGATGCCCCACGCTTTGGCATTCTCCTGGGCTGTCTAGAAGCTGGGTAGAGGGAAGGACTGCACTGAGACCCTGGAAACTGGAACTGGTGAGCAGCTCTGCTCTCCTCTCTCCCTGCTACAGACCCAGGTTAGGCAGCAGCAATGAGGTCTGGATCAGAATGCAGCAGCTCTCTCCCTTCCTCCCCTCCATCCACTGCCAAAACACCCTTGGCTGTACCCCACGCCCCTGCAGTGCAGCCAGCTCACTATTCATTGTGATTTAGGGTAATTGTCAACAAGAGATCAGAAATTAATTGTATAAAGCAGCAACACCTCAGGAAAGCAGAAGTTACTTAGGATTTGGATATACTTCCTCCTGTCTCCACCCACGGGTTCTGCCTCCAAGACAGGCTGGTTTCTGAAGCAGTGGAGGTGGAGCTGTTCCAGCAGCAGGTGTCCAGCAGCTGGAAGACTTTCCACCCAACGGTCCAGCCCAGTTGTGAGAACAGCACTCCCATCATGTATGGGACATACCGCTCTGTATGGGGACGAAGAAGACCCATTTCTCTTCCTTGCCAATATGGGATTTCTTCTGGAAGATGACACTGACCCCACAGTGTCACGGTACTCACATGCGGATGTGAGCAGAAAAGAGCGTGCTCCCTTCCAGCCACAGCCCTTCAAGGTCTTTCTCCACGGTTAGGGAGGGTCAGGAAGGGCAGCCAGCCCTCCGTGTGTGGCCTGAGCCTGGTTAGCATCTTTCACTCTTCATCACTCAGCCATGCCTCCCATCTGCACTGGCTCTAGATGTCTCTCCCTCCCCTCTCCTCCCCTGGCTTCTCCTTGCACAGACTGATTTTGTGATGCATCCAAGGGAAGACAGTGAAAAAGACATTAAGACAGTTAACTCCTGCCTGGACAAGAAAAAATGCTCCTAATTCTTTGCCACCCATAGAGCTAAGCAAATCCACCTGCCTTCTACTACATGCAGCAAACTGATGCTGACCATCTCCTTACAGCCTTGTGCAGGGGAGCACATTACTGAGGAACAGTCATGCTAAATACATGACACAGAATGCATGAAAGGAAATCACTCTTATCACCAGCTTTTCAGTTCATAAGGCCTCTGCAGACAGATGAGGATTTTGCCTTTATATGTCTCATTTTTATCATTCATGTATCACCCTCTCTCTTTTTCCTTTGCCTCCCCCTCCGCTCCCAGCACCTACCCATGCTGACTACAGGTTTCAGCCTGTGGATTAGGCACAAGGCTGACTGGCAGCTCTTACAGCTGGGGAGCTAATTCACGCTTTTGCAGCTGGCTCAGCCCATATCTCTGAAGTCCTCAGTGGCTCTTTTTTCTCCACCTGGGAAGCAGTTATGCTTATCCACTTCGGACAAAATGCTATTTCCACTTAACATACCTAAGAATAGCCTGGGGTGTTGTTAAATAGGAAACCTAATGTGAGAGAGCATGTGTATGGACTGCTTTGCTTGGCCACACACAGCTCAAGGAGAGCCATAGAGGATCTGCATCCCCTGGGACTGATCTAAAAGAAACAGCAGCGAGAAGGCGTCTGGAGGACTCCATCCATCTCTCTCCCAGCAGGGCGCTAAGCAGCTACACTAACAGCAGCTGACAGTGGGAGAGTTAATGGGTGTGTGCATTAGCCTACATAAGCATGTTTAAACTAGGAGGGCTCTGCAGAAATCAAAAGGGTTAAATTTCTAAGCTTCCTGTTCCAGAGATCATGAAACTATCACAAAGAGACTTCACATCATCATGGTTTTTTACCTCACTCATCAGTGCAAACTCTAATGTGTATGTGCATACATGGGTGTCTCTGTATATGCTGCTCAAAGTAATTTTTTTAATTTCTCCCCACTACCCCCAGAAACATAGCTGTATTACATGCAAGATAAAGGAGGGGGTTATTTCTTTAAACTCAGAAATTTTCAAGTTTAAACTCACCCCAAATCTGTCCACTGGTCCAGGACAGAGTCAGCAAGCAGCTCACCATGGCTTGCCAGAGGTCTAACACCAGCTACCTGGTAGTTCTGTGCCATAGTACTGGAAAGTTATGGAGACATTTTTTAACTTGGCATAAGCAATAGACACTGCTATTTGACTTAACAACAGATGCAGAGCCTTGAAGCAAATATTTCATGATAAACAAGAAACCTGAGTAAACAATGTGTATAGATATATAATTGATTATGGATGCACCTGGGACCAGAGCAAGATCTAGAGAACTTGGTTTTAGGAACAGTATCCAGAGGAAATACTTCTCCCCCCAGGTCTGACCTCTGACATGTCCTCGTTCAGCTCAGCAGTATCTAGGAGCTTAAACTGCCCTAGAAAGCTTGAACCATGTGGGTTGGGAATAGGAAGAGGGAATGGGAGTGAAGCCAGACCGGGAGAGCAGAAAATCTCTCCTGTAAAAGCTTGCAAGACCTTTACGGTTCATCATAATGGCTTTCTGTTGTTGTAGTTGCAGGGATCATTTTTTAAAACAAAGAGATAACGTTTGGTTCATTTCTTTCATTTTGGAAAAGGGCAGCTCCTAAGCCCTTATCGTTAAGAAATAAGAGCAGTGTTACATGTTCAAACAATTTATGTGAAGATCCTGCCATTTGTTATGGGAACAGCAAGTACAACTGCAAGTCCATTATCATCCTTCCCTGCCTCTGCATGCACAGCATGAGCAAGTGAGGAAGATTAGGGGTAAAAGCAATGGAGCTTGCAAAGTCAGTGACAAATATTCAGTACTTAAAACCCTCTTTGATGCTTCCCACTCCGAAGTGAGACTTTGATTTGGTCAGCAGTCAGACATGGACCCACTGATTTTTCTCCAATTTACTCTCAGTCTCAAAAAATAGCAACCTCTTTTTGTGATGTGATGGCTGAGAAGCAAGTGACCCAACACCACTGCAGTACTCTCCCAATGGCCCCATGAGCAGTGCTGACAGGAGGTGGGCAGCAGAACTGATACAGATAAGTTAATAATACTGGAAAGAGTTCCTGGACACCTGCCAATGTTAAAACCTGCCGGTGATATCTGCCTTTTTACTTAAAAAAAACCACAAGGCAATTGGCATTACATTCTGGTCTTGTTTCCAAACCCACACTTCCTGTGACCTCCACTCCCCATATCTTCACCCTCCCACTCACAGCTAATCTCTCCCTGCCTCTCCCCACTCCTCTGTTGTTTCTGCAGACAACACATTTAAGCTGCTGCGAGCCTGCAGCAGCAGACAGACCATTTCTCATAATAAACCACTCCTGGCTGCACAGCCAGGCTGGGCCCTGCCACGTGAGCAGTCAGGAACTCACGGGTTTTCAAAAGAAGAAGCTTTGCAATCCAGAAAAAAATCCCTACATCTCCTGTAAGAAAAGCCAGTGCCAGGGCAAGCACAGAGGGCTGAAGGAGGAGGTCAGCAGGGACAGGGGGCTATGGTACAGCCCTCTATGGCATCCCACATGGTGAGTGCTCAGCAGTGAGCCCAGGGCGAGCAGAGAGAAGAAAAGCCACTTATTGATGGGCAGCAAGGAAAGGCAAGGCCCCTGCTGCAATTAGCAAAGTTTAGCGGCCTTTAAACAAAGAGAAGGTTTCTGGGGAATGATCGTGACCAAAACAGCAATTTAAGGAGCCTCCTGGAAGTGTGCTCTAGCTGTGCCAGCACATCCTTCTGTTCAGTGCTTCTGTCCGCAGACATCATGAGGGAGGGAAGAAGAGAAGGAAGGAAGGAAGGAAGGGGCCTGTCAGGGCAGTGGCAGATGCCGGCACAGGTTTCAGAGGCAGCACCCATGGGCAGGTGTCCCACAGGAGGTGATTGTTTCCTACACAGAAGCCAGCAGCAGCAGGGGGGCCGACCCTGCCACCTCTCTGCCCCTAGCATCTCAGAGATGTGGTGGTGATCCCAGCACAGGGTTGGGGTCCAGAAGGTCTCCAGAGGAGCACCACCTGTCTCCAGCATGCAGGGCTGTGACTGACAGGGGAGGGACCTGGATGGCAGCAATGCCCCCTTCAACTGATGGCAGCTGAAGTGATGGTGGAGCAAGTGACACCATGGCATGACTCCTGCCAGGAATGCTTGAGTGTGGCAAAAACAGCCAAGGAACCTTACCTGGGTAGACAGTGAAATAAAGTAAAGCAGCAATGAGACCCTGGATTGATGAGGTGCCAGGGGACTGATGGGGGCCCTCAAGCTGTGGATCACACCCCATTATGGGTTCAACTGCTTTTGGAAGGAGCAGAGTGTGGAAGGAAACCACATTAGGGAGCAGAAATCCTACGTGGGCAGCAGAGGAGCACCTTGCTGGGGGAGGAAAAGAGGAACAGAGGGAAGTTGCTGTACTTGTTCATCATAATTGCAACTGTGTCTTCCTCAGCCCCTCCTACAGCATTCTCCTGTCTATAGTATCTTCCTCCCTCTTCAGAGGGAAAGATTTACAAGCTCAGTTGATATTATTAATTTCACTGGAAATTTAAGAGGGAAACCACTTGTAAAAGTGTTAAAACAACAAAAGAAAAATGGCAGAGGGACAGGGCTGCTAGATACGGACAGTTACAGATGCCTTTGCTTGAAACAGAAGAACTGCACAGCATACTCCAGTCACCTGCACCAGCAACAACGAAAGACAGAAAAGGAAAAAAGGGCATAATTTAAAGATGAACAAACCTCTCGGCTTGGAGAAATCTGTGTCCCTCCACACCTGAGCTCAACTGCTTGCTGCAGGTCCCTGCAGCCCTCCCTGTGCCAAAACAGACCTGTCATGAGGGGCCAACACAGCTACTGTGCCAAGCCTAAGTACAGCATGGTCAATTTTAAACAAATTGAGATGTGGTAGAAAGTAACATTGCTGTGGGAACAGAAGCTTTTCTCTCTTCTGGCTGTCCTGTTGGAGTCTCAGATGCTTTGGACAGTGATCAATGAGAGGAAAACAACAGCATTTTCCATCTGAACTTGCTAAACAGGCACACTGGCACAAGCAGCTGCTGAACCAGGGCATCCCACTGGCATCTTCTTCCTGAGAATCCATGGCTGGAGCAAGATAAGTCCTTCTACAGAGGCTTGGAAAATGCACCACTTTATAAAATAAGTTTTGTATGAGTGAGAGAAGAATGAAAGTGGTGCTTTCAGATAACACCACTTTCAGTATCAAAACTGTGGTGTCAAGGCACCAAGTGAAGGCTGCCAGAGGGCACAGCCAAAAGTGCACTGAGACATGGAGGAATTGATGGCAGCAGCCTCCAGAACAGCACTGACACCCCAACATGTGGCAGGATTCAAGGCTAGACACCTGGAGGGTCCAAAGGCCCTGTCTCTGCAGAGGAAAGAGAGACATCTCAAAGTCAGGCTACCAAAGCCTTTTGGATCAAAAAAAACAGTGCAGAGGAGAGAAAAACATCACTTTATAGGAGTGAGCAGCAAATGAATACTCTGAATATTAAGTCAAAATAGACACAAGCCCTTGGGAACAGAGGGATCATGAGGTATGGGAGCTCAAAAGAGGGCACATGATCAAACTTCCCAGCCTGAACGGTTCCAGCGGAGCCACGACTCAGCAATGTGGATTATACTGGCTACCCCACAGCTTAAAAAATGGCCTGATTTCAAGTAGTCCTGAGTATGCAGCAGGTTCTCAATGAAAATTTAATCCATATTTCAGACTTAGTAAGTGCCTAATATCCCACCTTAAGCTGTACTCTGAAATCACCTCCTCAGGAGTCAGCTCAAGGTTCATGTGCACACATGTGACTGGAGTGCATCCTCATGTTCAGCCTCTCCTCTGCCAGGGAAGGACAATCCCTGCATTCAGCTGTCCCTGATACATCCTCTCAACCTCTCCTGCTTCAACACCACAGGAAGTATGGGGACACACCACTGAAGATAGTGGGAGGCCATGCTCAGAGCACTCAGAGGTGCTCCTGAGCATCTCTACACACGCTGCTTTACCTCACCTCCCTGCTTCTGCTGGTGCCTCACTCACACCAGGGCTACCAGCTGTGTCAAAGGCGTGTTGGCAGGGTGTTGGCAGGGACAGGTCTCTCAGGAGCAGACAGCAGGAGGAGAGGAGAACTGACCTTCCAGTAACAGAGGCTGGATGAAAGCATGACTGTAAAATAAGACACACACCAGCCACACGTTGCTGTGAAATTGTTCCTCCCAAAAACACCCAGCCTGATCAGCCGAGTGCTGGGACTGCTGCAGAAGACTTCAATCTGTTATGGTAGTGCTGGAGCCTAAAGCCATGGTGAAGGCAGTGCTTGCAACACAGAGATGTGCCTAAGCCCCTGCTCTGTTGCTCAACACTACAGTGCACCTGATGGTGCCATTGCCTGGTGCTAAAATCTGGGCTTTTTGCCAGAAAACTCACTCTTTTTCTGAAGTAAAGGAGGCATGGGTCTTTCTCATGCATTACCAAAACAATCCTGTAAATACTACCTCAGCCTTTCCTTTGGAGTAGTCCAAACCTCTGTAGGTTCCTACAGAGATTCTCTTTCTTCCCAGATGCTAAGAAGAATGGGGAGACCCTTCATGGCTCATTATCCTTGCTCTCCACCAACACAGAACTCCTCTCCCTCTCTACCCCACAAATCTGGATAGGGGATCTCTGACAACAGGGACTTACACCTATGAAGTGGTTCAGTGTCTTGGCAGCAGTGAGCAGGAAACTCAGAAGCTTGTGGATCCTGTGGACATGAGTCCAGCTCTCTGTATCTCCTAACACATTTTACAGAATTTAATTCATAAAGTTGAGCACATGTTGGCAGAGATTTGCAACAGACGGTTCACCACAAAGGTGCCTCTCCTAGAGAGTTCACCGTAATTCCCCAGTGTCTGTAACTCAGTCCTGTAATTGAATGAATCAGCAGAATTTTCTATCACTTATAGAGAACAAAAGACTTAAAATTTAACCTGAGTGACCTCTGAGGGCTCAGATCCATAGACACAATAAAATTCATGGCAGAGAAGGACACCAACACATTTATTTGGTGTTTTCATTACCATTTTTTTCATCTAGTCTTATAATTTACGAGACAGGGAGATCTGACTCATGCCTTTGGAACATTTGGGGCTGGCAGGAAAAGATGCCCCATACATGCTTGTACCTTGCTGTGTCTGAAAAGGTCAACAGCACTCATTAAGTGGGTGTCAGTGTTCTCGGGGATAAAGCACCCACACAGCTGGCCAAGAGGTGCAGAGTGAAGCTGCAGTGTGTATTATGTCTTATGGAGCAGGATGCTAATTCACTGAGGAGGGGCTGACCCAAGTATGCAGCTTGGTCTCCTGTCTTTGTAATCTTCTGCCATCCTGTGATGTAAGGCTTACGCAAAGAAAATGTTATAATAAAAAATGTAACAATAAAGTGTTAGAATATCCAACATATTCATGTACGTGCAGTAGAGGTAAAGATATGAGATTTTTTTCCGCAAAATTCACTGTCATCACTCTATCTAGTCAATAGCACCCTTTTACACCACTCAGGCGAATTTCCATAGTCAGCTAAAGAATTCACCTAATGAACAGATTATGTTACAATTTGCTTTTGGGACTGAAATCCCTACTTACTGCTCATCTGTTTCCAAATAGTCATGGAACCTGTAGATGGGCAAACCTGAAAAAGAAAAAATACAAAAAACCTCATCCATTTATATGCTAAAACATCAGAGCTGTCTATAAAATGAAAGCTTTCTCCTTGCTCTTCTTAGAAAAACAAGCAAACAAACCGACCAACCAAATGTACTTGAAATCATGAGCGTATAAAGAAGGGTTTTTTCCTATTATCATAGCAAGCAGGATGCAATGCATACTACCAAAAGTTTCTCAGCTATACAGCTCTAAAGGGGTTTATGTCGGAAACGCTGCAAAAACAAACACGGCATGGAGCTATGCAAATCCAGGGTGGTTTGCTGTGGCTCAGTCCTATTATCCAAGTTAATGATGCTGTGGTGTCACAGCTGCACACCCCCACAGGGTGGGTCTCCAGCAGGGCTCTCCTGTATCCGTGGAGCTGACACAGCCTCCAGAGGAGCAGCCCCAGGCTGTGGGGCCAGGGTCCTTCCTCACCCCTGTGGAGGGGGGAGTGGGGCAAAAAACAGGGAGTGCGGGAAAAGGGGAATCTTCGTCACAGCTGTTGAGATGGAAGAGAAAGGAAGAAAGTTTAACAGTGAGGAGCACTGAATAGGGAAATTCCTCCCTCTTACCCCTTCCCAGCAGGAGCCTCTTCCCTGCATCCCCTCAGCCTCCCTCCACAGCTCTACCCAGATGAGTTTCTCATGGCTGGAGGATGGGTAAAGCAAATGCTGCTGATGGCAGCTGGTTTTCTGCCAGAGGTTTGCATTGCCTGTGTCCGACACCAGCCCTGAGAGCTGCACTTTGTGTCTGGTTATTATTTTGTGACTTTGTTTCAAGCAGATATCCCAGCCTAAAACCTGATGGTGGTTGAAGCCCCCTGCATGGACCAAAGGTAGCTAAGAAAAAAAATCATCTGTTAATTTGGTAATAATGACCTTTATTATCCAGAAATTAATAAAAGTTATGCCCACTAACACACATTTGATCATTGTATTGAATCATACTTCTGAAGCCTGCTTAAGCCAGAGACATCACAGTCATTATTATGCTGGTTTTACCAGGCACAGTTTTTGGAAATCCTTCCTCTTCTTTTTTTGGATCTGCATTACCCATTTTCCTGCCTCTTCCCTGGCTACCGTGCCCAACAGCAGAGAAGGAGAGAGATGAGGAACTGCAGTCAGCACTCCAGATGCTTCTACAGCAGACAAAACCTCAGGATTCACCCCACAGCACTGGCTTCCCATTGCTATCAGTCTGTGTGAGTGCATTGCACCAGCCTACAGCTGCAAGTTCAACAAAATCAAGGCAGCCTAAGGCTGGTGTCACACTGCAATGAACCAGACCACTGACACCCAGGTGAAAGATTTCAGAGATTCAAATACATATTTCTTCACCTATAAGGGTTGCAGCTAAGAAAGGCTCTTCTGCATGAGATTTGGAGAGGCTCTCTCCTCTAATTCCCTGAAGAAAATCCAAAAGCAGAAAGCGAGACCAACATTGCACTGGTATATTGGCTGATGGGTACAAAATCTTCTGACAAGTCGTTTGCTTGGTCCTGATTGGAAAATATCTTTAATTAAAACACCACATCAGAATCCTGAACCAATTTCATCCCAGCCCCGCTAAGTGCTTTGTACAAAACATTAACTCTAAAATCTCATTACACATTAGCAATCCCTGTGACAAACATAAATGATAATTTAGCTCTAATGCATTCTGGAGCAAGCCATTTTTAAGATAGGCACAAGATATCAGCTTGCTAGGAGAAGGGGAAGAGTTGAATTTATCTGTCTCTTTATTTTTTAAACAAATGGCTCTAACTGGCTCAGCAATGGGCTGCACAAATCATTGTCATGTGTAGATCTGATAGTACATAGCAGCTGTTTAGCCCAAATCTGGCACTTGAGCCTGGGCTGGGTTTTGAAATCCTACCAGCAGCGCTGAGCTCCCAGGTCTTTAAGCATTCAGAGGAAGGAGACTGGGATGTCTCTTCATTTTACAGAACAGCAGGAAGGGAGATATATCCAGAGACTGCAGGTAACGTGGGCTTGCTCAAAAACACAGGGTGGAGCAAGGAGAAGGTGGAACTCGTGCCTGCTGTCACTACATCTGGCTTCCCAGGAAAGAAGCATGAGTGCAAAAAAGGCAACACCTGCAGTGGTGATGTGATTCCCCAGCACTAGTGGGAACTGTGCCCCACTAAACACTGCACAACCCAGCCAGGACAACAGAGGACACTGCAGTGGATAATAGTTATATTAAGTACAAGAACTGTCTTAACAACGCTCCTCAGGCCAGAGGGACGGTAGTGGAACTAATGTTATTTGCATTTCTTGTCAAAAAGATATGAAATATCCCTTCTTCGATTAGCAGCAACATTTTCAGCCTCTCTCTAGTCTTGAAAATGACCTTTCTAAACTCCTCAGGCTGCACCTTGATCAATTTTCCTGTGTGAAAGTGAGCACGTGGGCTGTTAATTTTGTGAAATGGGGAATTTATGGTTATTTACTATGGGATTATGAAGCATGTACATAATAAATATTATACAGGGGTTTTAAAAATAGGCGAACCCTAAAATATACTTGAAATACCACCTACCAGATTTGGTCATTTCCTGGAAATCTAGAGCTGGAATCACTTTTTTTTTACTGGCTGAATAGAAGTTACCGAAATTTTCAGTGAAGGGAATGCTTTTCCCTCATCTGATCTTTTCTGGCTGCACAAGAAATCACAGATTATTTCTGATTAAATTTTGTTTGGGGGGAGGGGGATGGAAGGGAGCAGATCACCTGCATCCACTCCCTTGTCAGAGCTGAAAGATATGCATGGGGCCTAATAATCAGATGATGTTTCCTCTGTTGCAACTGTAGAGAAAAAAGTGCAAATCAAAATAAGCTTGACTTGGACAATGTGCATCTCTCTCCTGAAAAAGACTTCAAAACCAGTATTTGGTCTAGCAAGGAAAAAAATCCCCCTAAAACTTACTGCAGGATGGGTGATGGGTGCAATCTTCAACCAGCTCTTCTTTCAAAGCAGCAGTCGTGCTTTACTTTGCCCTACGAAAGTGTAGAAATTATTTCTACCAGTTTAATGGGTGTCCACACGTTAGCTCCATGTGCTTTTGAAATATCATTCTTGTGCGGCAGAAGAAGGAAACTAACCACATTAGATTTAAAAAAATAAAACATACTTCATTTTTTCTTGCAACTGAAATGCCATTCTGTGATTTTCCCTATTTCCAGTCCTGGAGGAGCTGCCTGCCCATCTGTACTGGGGCTGTTCCTCCCCTTTCCCAGAGCTCTGCAAGAGGTGTCAAGTCCAGCCATCTCCATAGAGAGATCTGCTAAATATTTGGCATTTCACTTACACCTCTGTTCCAAAACATTTGAAAGCTACCACACAGATCAGACAACCAAGTTCCGCTTGAGAGTCAGGAAAAAATGAGAAGCCCCAGAAGAGGTTTTTGTGAAAAGGCAACGATCTTGCATGTAGGGAAGCTGACAGCAGTCAGGTGCTGGGTGGTTGCCTGGGTACCGCAAAGCCGATAATTCCTTGGTTTTTACTGCTTAAGAATAGTAGCTTGGGGTTGCAGCTCTACCTGTGTCTTAGTCTGCAGTTAGACCAATGTCCCAAAATCATTCAGATTCTTTGGAAGACTTTTCCTTGAATCATAGAATACCCTGAGTTGGAAGTTACTCACAAGGATTACCAAAGTGCAACTTCTGGCCCTGCACAGGACAACCCCAAAAATGCCACCACATACCTAGTGGTGTTGTTGAAACACTTCTTGAGCTCTGGCAGGCTCTGGCAGGTGCTGTGACCTCTTCCCTGGGGAGCTGCTCCAGTGCCCACCCACCCTTTGGGTGAAGAACCTTTTCCTAATATACAGCCTAAACTTCCCCTGACACAACTTCAGGCCATTCCCTCAGGTCCTGTCACTGGGCACCAGAGAGAAGAGATCAATGCCTGCTGCTCCTCTTCCCCTCATGAGGAAGTTGTGACTGCAGTGAGGTCTCCCCTCAGTCTCCTCCAGGTTGAACAGACCAAGTGATCTCAGCTGCTCCTCGCATGTCTTCTCCTCAAGGCCCTTCACCATCCTCCTTGTCCTTGTTTGGACACTCTGTAAGAGCTTTATGTCCTCTTTACGTTGTGTCACCCAGAACTGTCCCCAGCACTGGAGCTGAGGCTGCCCCAGCTCAGAGCAGAGCAGGACAATCCCCTCCCTTGCCCAGCTGGCCATGCTGTGCCTGATGCCCCCCAGGGCAGCGTTTTCCCTCCTGGCTGCCAGGGCACTGCTGGCTCAGGTTCAACTTGCCAGTGACCAGGAACCCCAGGTCTCTTTCCGCAGCACTGCTCTCTCCAGACTCGCTTTTCCCATTCTGTGCATGCATCCAAGTTTGCCCCATCCCAGATGCAGAATCCATCACTTATCTTTGCTAAACTTCATACAGTTGGTGATGACATAGCCCTCTAATTTTTCTTGGAGACTTTCTGGCTAGCCCACAGTTTCTCATTTCTTCATTTATAGTTAAGCTTTCCTGAATTGCTCCCCCTCTAGAGGATTTGTCTTCCAGACCACCCTGCCATACTGCCAGGTCTCAAGATAATTTTTCTTCCTCTTGCCACACCTGTGTGCTTGCTTTATAGAGGCAATTAGACTAAAATATCATATTTGGTAAAACTTTCAGTAACAAGCAGCATGATGTCAAGGCAGCTCTACTGGTGTAGCTGCACATGTGTTAGGTAGCTGTATTCTTTCTCTTCTCTGGCTTTCAAACAGAGTTCAGTAAAAGATTGTTGCATGTTGTCCACAGAAGGGGTGGGGAGTGATCTGAGGTGATAGCTTCTTTTGTCCTCAGCATGGCCCTTGGCTAATCTTTAAATCACGTCTGCAGGCTTTGCAGAAGTGAGTCCATTTTGAAGGTGACCAGCATGATAAATGCTGCAGGGTGGGAACAGGAGCTGTGTTTAAATTTGTGTTTGGCAGTGACAATCAGCATTATCAAGTGATGCTTCATTAGCCACGTGAAGAACTGAACAACCCTGTTGCTTTATTTGCAGCCTTCTGCCTCAGTTATATGCTGACCTTGGTCCACATAACTCCAGCCATAACACTGTCCTTTGACTATTCATGACATGCTTCACAGCTCTGCCTACATACCTGTGTCTGCATGCATACATAGCTGTGTCCCACACCTTGGGACCTGACCACCCTTGTTCAAAGGCAGCAACTCAGCCAAGGGAGCTTAAAAAAAATAAAAAGGTTCAACTTGTTCTTCTCCTTAGTTCAGCTTATTCTTGTAGAAAGTTACTGCCTGTACTTTGTGCCAAACACATGTTCAAAAACTACATTTGGTTCACATCAAGAGGAATTTTCTTCTCAACATTGCTCCAGCAGAAAGTATAAGCTTCACCCAGTGCTGTGGAACATGTGATATTACTCCAAAAATAGTCCACTACTTCTTCAGCTTGAGAGTAACCAAGTTACATGTTGGAGAGAAAACCAGCAGCTACAGGCAGGGAACATGCTGGAGCAAGGGAGAGGACAAACAGGATCCTGAAAACCAACATGGTGCAAAGCAGAAGCAAAAAGGGGCAAGGGAAGTAAATTAGGATGGGAAGTCTTGGGAATGCTGGGAAACAGATGCAGTGACAGACAGGAGAGAAGCACAGACAGCCCTTTTGTGTGGGCTCTCAAACCCACATGGATCAGATACATCTGGAGGTGAAGTTAGCTGGGGCAGGTCAAACAAAAATAAGCCCTTGGTTGCAAGGAATGAAGTAAATCTCACCTGGCAATGTCTCCACAATGATTAAACAACTGCTGCAGACCTGCAGCTCTTACATTGCACACCATCGTTCACCTGTAGCCTGTTTGTGGTGGCAGGAAGGCTCCTCAGTGCTCTCACTGTCTTCTCCCAAATCAGCTTCCCTAGACTTTTTCCCTGCGGGTGTCCATGCCATGTCCTGCCCCTTTAGGCCACAGCTTCTGCACCTAGCTGTAACCTAGGGAAGGGAAGCACGAGGCAGGGGCACATCACAGCTGGCTGGAGCAGGGCTGCCCCACAGGACCAGCCTGGACATGCCACTGCCACTGGCAGTCTCTTCCCTCTCACTGAATAAATACATGAATGCATCAGTCTTCACAGGATAACCATTACCCAGGTAGAAAAACAGGTAAATCCCATTACCCTCAGGACTTCTGCTCTCTGGTCGTCTCTCTTCCCCTTTGCTCGACCAGATGCTGTTCTCTGCCAGCCTCATTTCCAGAAGCAGCCCATAATAGAACAACCACTGGTGCTGCTGGAAGCTGCTGGGAAGAGAGGTGTGGGAAGTGGGAGGCCTGTACCTACTCGCAGAGATCTGTGCTCTTCTTCAGAAGCTTGTGGGGATCATATTCCAGCTCTGCAGCCCTTACAACTTCTGTGGCATCCCCTGCATAGTCTCCTGTGGCTGGATGTGCTACATGGAAGAAATTCCCCACCCCACCGGCTGTACCTGCTCCAAGGATAGGCTGTCCCAGCTCGGGTGGTTGTGCTGTCCTTTTCAGTGACCCGCATTCACAGCGATTTGTGTCTGCCTGTAAATCTGCCACCTGTACCTGGTGCCATCAGAGCTCTTCCAGGAAAGCCCCGTGCCATGGCCTCACTGCCTGACGCTGACCCTGTAAAGGGAGGCTGGGACAAACCAAACTGAGTCGTGCACTCTGCTGCAGGCAGGGCACCCCAGGGCTCTGCAGCCATCCCTGTGGATCAGCCAGGCTCTCCCACAGGGCAGCAGCAGGGACGGCCACTGGCCAGGCAGGCAAGTCCTGTAGTGGGTTTTGCTCTGGCATCATCCAACAGAGCAGAGTAAAGCCACGACCACCCAAACAAATGCAAATCAACTGCATCAGCTGGGGGAAGACAAACATAAGGAAGAGGAACGGGGCATGCAGCAGCTCCTGGCGGGATCAGAAGCAGCACTGCTTTCACACACGTTTTGCTTAGCATAAAGGCTCCTGTGATGTTTCATGACTATCAAAGGCTTTGAAATTCACAGGAATTTCAAGGAAGGCAGAAGTTCATCTGAAATGAGAGAAAGATTATATTTTCCCTCCCACCATATTTCCAGCTTCCCAAGAATTTTCCTTTGAAGGCTGCACTGCTCCCAGGAATGTCTTTATGATGTTTTTTAAGTCATTTCCCATACAGGATCATCACTGCACAGCGCAAGCAAATGGTAGAGGCTCAGAAAGAAACGTATGGGGCTGACAACCGAGGGTGTGGGCGAGCTTCAGCTTCTCAACAAAACCAAATCATCCTACCACAGTGTAGTAGCATTGGTTAGAGGCAAGGGTACCAGATGTCCCAGAGTGGAGGGAGAGCAGGGATTTCCTGAGCAGCTGTTTGACTGAGCAGTGCCTTACTGCTTCCATGCTGGCTAAAACAAGAATACAGATTTGAGCTATGGGAGAAATTGCACTTTTTCAAAGCTTTTCTCTTAAGTACGAGACACTCCCATCTGGAAAGGAAAGCACCTGCTAACTGCCTGCAGTAAGGGAGAAGGGTCTCACAGAAAGGCATTTTAATTTCCAGCCCCCAGAAGGGCACTCCTCCACAGGTCTGCTCTGATATCTGACCACCAGGGAATACATAAGCATGGAGCAGACTGCAGAAACTGAGATGAAGCTGCTCCTTTCCCTCTGATAAGAGTGAGCCGATATTGAACCTATTAGTCAGATTATGGTGGATCTGAATTTGTTTCCCCTTGAGCAGCAGCTACAGAGACAGGGCAGCTGGATTAAGTTTCACTTTCCTATGTAAAATGACTTAACAGAGTAGATAAAACTTAATATTTGTGAAGGCTCATGTGTTTCCCTGAGACCTGATCTCAATAATGTCTTATGAATGCCTTGCTGATTGTTTAATGAATTATTTTTCTTCCTCTCAGACTGCTAATAATAAATTATAAGTAGAAGGAATGTACAGACTGCTTGAAATAATTCCTTGAATATGAGTTCAGCTGCAGAACTCATTCTGTTTTGCCTTCCGCTACCGCTGAGCAAGTGCCTTTTGATGAGGATTTTGGGGCAGAGGAGCTCCTCCTGTTCTTGTGAAATAGGAAGGCCCTAGGGATCTGCAGGGCGATGAGTGAGCTGCATGGGGGAAGCTCAGCCTATCTGTGAAATACATGAGGTTTCAGCATAAACCAGCTGGCTGTGTGTGCACATTGTTGTACACCTCCCAGGTGAACTTGGCAAAGCAGAGGGACGAGGGATAGAGGAGCTTCAGAGACAAAAAGGAGGGACAGTCCCATTTCAAGGCTGTGGAAAAGGACTCAGGATCTCACCATCTACCTTTACCCGTCGTGGGCTTTAAGAGACATTCAGCGTGAGTCACATTCACCTCACACAAGTTTTGCTGTCTGAAGAGCTCACATCCAACCAAGCCACCTACATGGAGAGCCCAGGCAGATAACAGAGGAGGAGAAAAGTTCTTGTTTGTATCAGACTTCTCTTACAATCTAGGCTGAACTGCCCTTATTGCTGCCCACGTCCTGCAGCTGACGAGGAGCAGGAGCCTAGCTGAGAAGCCCAGATCAGAACTAGTCAGGCATCCCACTGCTGGTGCCAACAGCCACCCACCCACACAGGAATGTTATGTGGCTGTGTCTCTCCTAGAAGCTATTAACTAAGAGGGGTTTCCATATTAGTCATGAACTATATATACATATATACACTCTATAAAATATATATGTATTATGGAGCATAATCCACAGATTATGAAAGTCTGCCCCTTAGCATAGTTCACCCTGGAGGTCTCATGGATCATTTCACACATTTCAGTGTTAAATAACACTGAATCTCTATATCCATAGGCACATAAAGGGATCAAACTCAGCTATCCCAGTTATTCTCAGCAACACTTTGCTCACAGGGGGAAAAACAGAGCACCAAAAGAGGAAAGTAAATGAAGGACAGCATGAAAGACACAAGGTGCTAGGATGTCAGCTGCATTTATAAACTTCCATTATTAGCCTTCACCTTCATCCTTGCCTCTTCCAAATCAAAGTGCTTTCACTTTAAATAGTGCCATGCACTCAGGGGAAGCTGCTGGAAACATCCAGCAGTGCAGTTTTCTACATGCAGCCAAGCTAGACCATGCCCTGCATTCAAACTAGAGGCAAACAGGTCTTGTCATCCCCAACCACACATGGAGCTCAAAGCCAAGCGAGGACATTGAGGACTTAGCACTAAAAGGAGCAGCCTTTTGAAGAGAGAGGACAGGCACCATCCCACCCTGCAGTGTGGGCACAGTGTAGAGCAGGGAGGAGAGGAGAGGCTGCTTGTCCTGTCCCCAGGAACACAGAGACATGGGCTGGACTAAGCCAGCAATAATGCCATGTGCTGCTCTGCCCAGTTGCTGCACACCGGCCCAGCTGTAGCTGGCCAGGCTGGTGTGCACAAGAGAGAGTGATGTGCGACAGAAATCTTCATGGCGAGGGGTAAGAAAATGTTTTTTAAATCAAAAACAATTCTGCAGTTTTGGCAGGGAATGCCAAATACGGAAAACCCACTGAAAGCTTCCTAATTGCTTGCGCCAATTGTTTGGGCACACACACATCCACAACAGCATTTATTCCACTGGTAATGTCCGCAGTAAAACCAGCGTCCCAGGTTCTCCTCTGCCCAAAAGGCAGCCCTGAGGCACGCCAAGGCTGCAGGTTAGCTTGGAGTCTCAGTGAGGAAGCATGAGATGGGCAGGTCAGCACTTTCAGTATTGCTCATTAGAATGACTCACAGCTTGGATACAAAGCCAGGTAGACAAGGATTACTCATTGCTCCTTTCAGCTGATCAGAGCTCACCTCCTTCCAAAACCTGAATTAGCAATTGTCACCATTGCAGACTACAGGGTAACCAGACCTGCAGCAGGGCTCATTACCATCATTTAGGCTCATAAATCATCCTGTGGTGGGACACCACGGTGCTGCAGATGGGCCAGGAGGGATGCTCTGGCTTCTCTGCTCCATCTGCTTTCTCTATGACTCCCACAGCACCCACCAGCTGGTGGCACATCAGCTTTCCACCACCCTGTGGGAGAACTGCAGCTCCCTGCACAGGGAACAATCGCTGTGTGGGTGGTCCCCAAGCTGGAGTCTGCCAGGCTTTAAGCCACTGCATAACTTTGCTTCACAACAGCCATTTGTGTGAGCCAAGCCGTGGGTCTGCCCCAGAAGTCACCACAGTCATTTCAAGGGAAAGAAAGTTCTAAGTGTGAAAGAAAGATATCTATGTCCTCAAAGACACACAGACACCTGCTGCTGAATGAAATCAAAGGTGAGGTGGGTTGCTTTGCTTTGTGGATTCGTACCAGGCTGGCACCTGACCCTCAGAAATAGCACACACTGAGGACTGAAAAGCAGAGCCCCAGGAAGGCTCTTATGTGTCATCCCAGGTCTTGTAAAGTGGCATGTTACAAACACCTGGGTATCCCAGTTCCTTTATCTCTGCTCTGATAATGAATTTTTTGACCTTAGCTAGTCTTCCCCACCTCCTAATCTGTATAAACCCACCATTTCAGAGGCAGCGTTTTTGGTGCTGCATTGCTGACTCCTGCAACTTGGGCAAAATTGCTCCAGAAATCAAAAACTTGCAGGTCAACATTTATTAACTTTGTATTAAACTGTGCAGTCATTACTGCCCTTGTGTTTCACCATGCTCTTGGCAGTCACTACAAGCTCATTTGTACAAATACCTACTCATGTCTGTACTTTCATCACACTGGTTTACTGAAATAGCTCCCATATGGGAAATACATTTTCGTGGTTAGTTTTCTCTTTCCCCAGCTGTATTGCTTGCACATCTCCTTCTCCTTTGGTTGTCAGACCTGCATGGCACCAACCCACCGACCTCTCCTACGTTTGCTAGGGAGCTAAGGAGCATTTCCGTATTTCTCCACATTGGTAACATCCTTATTCTTAGTGTTTGGGATGTTAGAAAACAGGAGGAGAAAGAGATTTCTACCAAGAATACATGCCTTTGTTCTTAAAAAAAAATAAAAAATAAAAAATATCGTGCTTCAGGCAGTAATTCAGCCTCCAATTATTAGGGAGATGGCTAAGATAACCCTGTACCTAAAAGGCACTACAGCTGATCATTGAAAGATCATCTGGCTTTCCTGTAACAAGTCACAATAAAACAGCATATTTATAAGGATGCCTTCGGACAAACCAGTAAGGGGGAAGAGAGTGAGAGTGAAGGGGAGAAAACATCTGACCAAAAATTAT